GAATGCAGTGAATGTGGGAAGTCCTTTAGCCAAAGCTACAGCCTCAATAGCCATATGAAAGTTCACACTGGAGAAAAACCTTATGAGTGTATGGAATGTGGAAAATGTTTTAGTCAAAGATCTAATCTCATTCAGCATCAGAGAGTTCACACTGGAGAAAGGCCTTATGAGTGCAGCGAATGTGGGAAATCTTTCAGCCAAAACTTCAGCCTCATTTACCACCGGAGAGTTCACACTGGAGAACGGCCTCATCACTGTGGTGAATGCGGAAAATCCTTTAGCCGAAGTTCCAGCCTCATTCACCACAGGAGACTTCATACTGGAGAAAGGCCTTATGTGTGTAGTAAATGTGGTAAATCCTTTAAGCAAAGCTCCAGCTTTAGTTCACATCGTAAGGTCCATACAGGAGAAAGGCCTTATGAGTGTGGGGACTGTGGAAAATCATTTAGCCATAGCTCCAACCTCAAGAACCACTGGAGAGTTCACACAGGAGAAAAGCCTGTTGAGTGCAGTGACTGTGGGAAATCATTTAGCTGTAAATCTAACCTCGTTAAACACCTGAGAATTCACACTGGAGAAAGGCCTTATGAGTGTGGGGCGTGTGGAAAATCCTTTAGCCAAAGTTCCACTCTCATTCAGCACCAGAGAGTTCACACTGGGAAAAGGTCGTGAATACAGTCGATGTGGGAAAAATCCTCCAGCTGCAATTATTTTTGACCTCATTCAACAGCAGAGACTTCACACTAATGAAAGGCTTTAGATGTGCTGGGATGTAGTTTCCTTCTAGTGTAATCACACAGGAAGAGAGAAACTGATGGAGTCATCTAAAATATCTGTAAATCCACGTTGGGGACATTCTCCTTACAGTCCAAGTATGTGAGAATCTTTCAGGAGTTGTGTTACACCTTCTTACCTGCCCAGGACCCTTGCCAGATTTATGTCACTGCCAGTTCTTTGGCAGAATTCATTTCACCTCTATCACCTGGCAGGTCCACACAGGGTGCAAAAGTTACGTCCCAACATTCTCAGGGTGCTGACTTCTGTCCCATCCCCGTTTGCAGGGGGAAATAAGAGTGGTCTTAGGCCGTATGGGGTCCTCATTCCTGTCTCATTTCCAGGTTAGGGCATGGACTGGCTCATTTTAGGTCCAGTGGACCTGATCTGAATTCTGTTGGTGATTTGCCAGGAAGGACTGCATTTTCAAGGATATGTCAGTTTCTGGGGACACTTATCTTGAATTTTCCCAGCCTCCAGGTCACCAACTGCATGCCTCATGTTTGTTTGCATTTTGCAATAATAAAGGCACTAATGTTTAAGCCACCTCTGACCTTCGGGTTCTGTTCCTGGGTGGTGATCTGAAAACAGCTGGGCTCTACCAGCATTAGGGACTGCACAGCTTTCACGGGGTCCTGTGTGGTGTGCCTCAGACACGTCAGGGTGATTGAAGAATGTAGGTCTCTTTCTGGCTTTAGCCCCAAGTACATTGTTGCCCAGGGTCTCCTAGGAAGGACTGCCGAGTTTTGTGTTCCTCATGTGTGGACTTGGTGTCAGGATTCTTTGTGAGCTCAGTGAACACCCTGAGGAGCCAGGAAGTTGTGACACCCTCCCGTGCTTCTGGGAACAAAATGGATTGTTTTTCTTGGTCACGGTGAGTATCACATAATGCTCAGCAGTTGCCCTGCAAAAGAACCACATGCCCTGATCCCCAGTCCCCAGAATTCACTAGATAGTGCCACTGAAAGACTGAAGGGCCAAGGGGAAGCATGCTGGTAAAGTACCACTGGAGCAGAGGAGATGGCGGGGAAGTAGGTGGGGAGCCCCTGCTCACACTGCATCCACAGATTCTCCAGTGAGTGTGACTGTGCATTATCAGTGTGCACAGATGCACAG